ACTCTGATGCCTGGGCACCACCCCTGGAGGACATTCTGATGTAGCTAGTGTACAGGGTAGGGAGGGCACTTCAAAGGCTCCACAGGTAATTCTAATATGCAGCCAAGCCCCATGGTTTTCACAGTGTGGTAGCCAAACCAGCACATCAGTGTCACCTAGGATTATGTGAGAAATACCAGTTCTCAGGCCTCAATCCAGACTCACTACATCAGACACTCTGGCAGGGGTGCTTAGCAATTTCATAAGCCCCACAGGTGATTCTTATGCACAATAAAGTTTTCGAGTCACTGGTTGTGCCCTGTTCACACTTCATTAAGAAACTTCCCAGGAGTAGATTCTGGGAAAGCAACTGCTAGTTCTGTCTGCATACAAGATCACAGTTTGCAGTTTCTAAAGACAAAAACAACTTCCTCACTTTTATAAGCCAACTGAGCTAATAATAATTTCAACTTGTCTTTCACTTTCGATACTTCCATGGAAGGTGTTAATTACTGTTTCTTTCTGCCTTAAACATTACATCATAATTCTAACCCAGCAATTCCTAGAGTGTACTTGCGTACTGCTGAATGATTTTTAGAGTGTCACAGTCTGATGGGGAATAAGCCGAAGCAAGTCATGCTGGGCACAGTAGGAAATGGAAAGGTAATTAAATATTATTTGGCTATGTTCTCCACTAAGTTGGAAATGCTCTGCAGGTTTGTAAATTGAGCAAATAAACTGGAGAAATGGGGACAGGTTTCCTGACATTTTTATGTCAAATTCTTTAAACAACTTTGGGATCTTACTGTCCCAGGAAATAGATCAAGTGAAGGCTTGGTTACGTGAAACAAAGACTTCATGCCACAGTTTTTGGTTATGAAGTCATCCATATTTACTGGCCATTCCTCAATTAAATCTCAGTCAAGTGAATAATGTGGCATTCCCTTTCTCATGGTACTTTGAGGGGAGGACCTACATCATGACTAGAGAGGAAGCCACATAATGAGCTTTGGAGGCCTCTCATATTCTGGGTGCTAACCTTTCCTCTGAGCTGCTGAATTCCACCCTCAGAAAAGAATGCACTGAAGAAAAAGGCCCTGTGGCAGTCTCCATCCAGGCAAGAACCGTTAGAGAAAGAATAAAAGCCTTCTGTGAGCATAACTCAGAACTGCCCTGGGCTGAAAGACAGGATGGAAGGGCCCAGTAGCACAGAGGAGGTGGTGCCATCATGGCCACGTGCAGAAACCCCCAGGTTTATGCCTGAAAATTGCAGTTCTCCTACCTAGGCAATTAGAACAAGAGCTGAATTTTGAGTCCACTTGATACTAAATATTACTCTATTCTCCAGCGCTTGGCTCCTTTGCCCTTTGTTGCAAGCCTTCCTCACTTTGTCTGAATACCACACTTGCTACAAAGGAGGACAGGTGGTTTGCCTCAACCCCAGGGCAAGTTCAAACCCAACTTCATTATGCCATCAGCTGATGGCGAAACTCCCTGAAATCAGGAGAACCAGGGTGGAAATGAGTCTGTAAGCATCTTACCACTCATTTAATTGTTTCATAATGTGCATATTCCCCACAATAAAAATAAATTCTTTTTGGATAGTTATATGGATAATAACATATATCATGATTAAAAAAATTTTTTAAGTAATCTAAAATAGCATCAGGACAAAAAGCAAAATCAATTGAAATTCTACCACCTTGAGATAACTATTTGGGTGTCCAACCTTTAATACATTGATTTCCATATATGCCTCTAGCATAGATCTGTGAAACAGTATGGTAGTTCCTCAAAAAATTAAACATGTAATTACCATACATCCAAGAATTTCATGTCTGGGCATATACCCAAAAGAATTGAAAGCAGAGACTCAAACAGGTATTTGTACACCAACGTTCATAGCAGCATTATTCCCTATAACCAAAAGGCTGAAACAACCCGAATGTCCATCGACGGATAAAAGGATAAACAATATGCGGTGCATACATATAATGGTATATTATTCAGCCTTTAAAAAGGAAGGAAATTCTGACATATGCCACAACGTGGATGAGCCTTGAAGACGTTATGCTAAGTGAAATAAGCCAGACACAAAAGGACAACTCTTGTATGATTCCATTTATATGATGCACCTAGAGTACGCAAGTTAATAGTGAGAGAGCAGAATCATAGCTCCCAGAGGCTGGGGTAGGAGGTAAATGAGGAGATATTTTTCAATGGGTACAGAGCTTCAATTTGGGAAGATAAAGTTCTGGAGCTGGATGGTGCTGATGATTGTACAATGATGTAAATGTCCTGAATGCCATTTAACTGTGCACTGAAAAATGATTCAAATGGTAAATCTCATGTTATATATATTTTACCACAATAAAAAAACTAAGTTAGAAAATATTACTAATGCTACTTTCTGAAAATCATGCCATATTTATCTTTTAAATATCACACAGTAACAAAAAAAGGGAAAAAAAATAGATTTCAAACTTTTGGTGATTGGACTCTAGAAGTCTATAGACACACTGATCAATTCCAATTAGTCAGGTATAAATGAAAACACCAGGAAATAGCCCCTGATAGTATAACTTCAGTGCCTGACATGATACGCTAAATTCTTTCTCTGTGCAGAGTAGTCAAGAAAATGTGTGCTTTTTTCTTACAGTAATTATAAAGCCACATTGGCCCCTTAGATTTCAGTAGATACCAGTCAGCAGTAAATCATGATGAATTAACCAGTAAGTAGTCAGCCCTGTGGGAGACCCACTCTAAAATCTGGAATATAGAATTATAAGACCTGGAATTTATAATCCACTTGTGGAGAGAAGATTACCACAAAGAAACCAAGATAGAGGTTGTAACAAGATAAAAATAAAATCACTCACAGAGAATATGTGGTGTATCCCTTCCTGTTTTCCCCAAATTAGACTTCAATTGTCCTTACTCACTGGAAGTATAGCCCTGTATTTCCCCAACAAAGAATAAGGCATTTCTCCATCTGTCACAGCAGCCTTTGGTCACAACCAGAAATATCCCTCAGCTAAGCCCCAACACAGCTCCTACAACTCTCAATTCAGCTCTTGGAAATGGGCAGTATATCTGGGAATCTCTGGAGCTGGAGAAAGCATCGCTGTCAGGAACCTGATAAGGATTTCTTTCCTTCCTCTAAGACTGGGATGGAGAATGGAGTCTTGCTGACAATTATACAAATGAGGAGAGTTAGACAGAGGAAGAGCATCAGGTGAACTAAGGAGAACAACAGAGAAACTTCAAAGCTGATGGCTCTCAACCTTGGCTGCAAGTTGGAATTACCTGGGGAGCATTAAAGAAATATGCCTGCCTGCATCCCTTCCCTCACCCTAGTCCTTCACCACTGAGACTATGAGTCCATCTGGGACTGTGATTTGGACATCAAGATGATTTATTTTATAGACTCACCTCATGAGGCTAATTTCCAGCCAGGGCTAGGAACCAGTGCCTTGCAGGAAGGTAACCTTCCTCATTCTTTAGTCAGTCTTCTGGAGACCCTGGACCTCAGTTTACTGCAAGATCTAATGACTTTCGAGTTAAAATGGTCTTGAAAAATTGTTCTCCAATACAACACAGAAGACGTGATCATATTCCATCACTAGAGGGCAGTTTCTTCATCCTGAACACTTAAAGTATTATTGCCTCCAGTTAATTCACTCAGGTTCCTCTTTTACATTAAAAAAAAAAAAAAAGCTGCATGATGACATTTTTCATGAAGGTATACTACAGCCTGACTTTCATAAATGTCAGTTCCTTCCTATTCATGAAATGAGGGTTTGGGAGACTAATATTGAAAAAGCTCTGTGTCCTTCCATTTGTCACATGCCCTCTTCCTAAAAGGTTTGTATTGTAAGGAGAATATTGTTTTTATAAAGCTCATGGCTTTGCCATGTTACCTACGTTACCAAACAGGAGGTAGGGCTTGACAGTATCTGATTAAGATCTGATAACTTTCTGTCTCAGAAAGAGGGACAATAAATGTCTCCGTTTTAAAAATCATTTGATTTTTGAATCTTGAAATAGAAAATTCTACATTCCTAACACCATGCTAGGTAATGCAGTGCTGAGACTGCTGGTAAAGAAGCACACTGAGTAGTGGGAGGTAGAGAACCTCATTGGGGCAGACTCTTCTTTAGATATCCTCAGACGTTAACTCACATGCTGATAACACGTCTGTCTCTCTGTCTGTCTGTCTGTCTATCCCCATGAAGACAGAGAGATCAGTGAATCCAAGTTGACTATATATCAGAATCACTTGGTTGCTTCTTAAAAGTACAGATTTTTGGTCTCAACCACTGGAGATCTGTAGGTCTGAAGTGGGGCCCAGGAATTCATATTTTTAACAAGTACCCAGTAGATGTTGCTAGACAGAACCCTCTGCTTTTGACAATCGCTGCCCAAATTTTTTACTTTACAGTCAAAAAGACCAAAGCAGAAGAGGGGAAGGAAATTTTCAAAGTTAGTGACAAAACAAACCAGGATCCAGGTTCTCCTGGCCCTAGGAGAATGAAGCTTGCTGCTTATAAGGAGTTAGTGTGTGCTTGATTCTGATTCTTACGCTGTATCATGGACAGATGTAGTAACTAGTTTCCAAAGATGGCCCACGATGAACCATGATTCTCCACCTTCACACCCATATGTTGTCCCCCTCCCACATTCAATCTGGGCTGGCCCTGAAACTTGCCATGATGAAGAGAATGCTCTAGAAGTGATGCTCTGTAACTTAAGCATTTTGCAGCTTCCACATCCTTCTACCTTGGAACACTCCACTTTGAACAAGACACGATTCTGTGAGAAAGCTCAGGCAACCACTGAAGAAGTCCATATGGAGAAGAACCAAGGCCCAGGCCAATAGTCTCAACTGAGCTCCCAGGCAACAACCATCACTAACTCCCCAGGTATGTGAATGAGGCCCCTTTGGACTTTCCAGTTGACCATCCCAGTGGGTGTTATACCACAAGAGATAACTGAAAGAACAGAAGAAGAAATCCTCTTACCTGTTAGGCTGGAAAGAGATTCGGTCATAGCCTGTGAGTTCACACAAATCCTTCTCAAGTTCTTGGAAAAGCTGCTGGTACCCTTGAGCTTGGTCCAGAGGCACAAAAGGGTGGATGTCTGCAAATTCCTTCCACGTGATAGCCTGAAGAGCAAGGGGAGAAAACATATGCATATGTATGCAATAGTAATAACAATACTGACTTCAATGTTGATGATGACGATGATGACAGCAACAGCTAACACCGAGAGTGCTTACTATGTGCCAGGCACTGTTCTAGGCACTTTAAACATATTTATTCATTTAACTCTTACCACAGTCTTATGAGGTAAGTACTATTCTTGTCTTTATTTTACCAGGGGGTCACAGAGGCCTAGAAAGGGAACTTATACAAAAATACAATGTTTTTCTATTTTTCAGGAACAAAAAGGCCTCCAAATAGATTTATACCCATGGAATCCAATGAGCTGTTTCAGATATGGTTTATTCAAACTCTTACATAGCACATATATTATACTTTCTTCATTAAGAGAACAAGATACCAATACAAAACAGATGGAGAAAATCCTCCTGTCATAAACTGATTTTCTTTGCTTGATGTGATTTGTCACATCAGAATCATCCTGTGGGAACAAAGGAACATCCCAGCCTAGGAGAGATACTTACCAACCAGCACAACAGGGTACACAAATCTTCTGCTGACATAAGAAGTAAATTAAAACCTCAAATCTCTACCCTTCTGGCACTGTCAATGGATTTCTAGAAAGAAGGCTTAAGGTTCTTAATTCTACCTGAGATTAACAACTACAAATTGATAAAAATAAAAGCTTTTAATATGGCAGGTTTAAAAAAGGGGAGTGGGGAGGGTAGGAAGGATAAATAGTATATATTTAATTATTTTAATATTTTTAAATTATTTCACTCAAAAATTTAAATGATCAGGTTGTGATAAAATTAGGGTTTCTGCCAAGATTGTTGAAGAGCAAGATAAAGGATTTCTACAGTGGTTATTAAATCACGGTCCCAGTAGCAGTTTTCCCTAGTTATCTGCTTATGTACAAGCCAAGACACTGCCTCTGCTAAGCTCGCTCTTAATAGAAGAGACCTACTTACTGTGAGTTCAGAAGAACTGTTGAGCTTCATGGTGCAGGACCCCTTTAAGAAGCACAGCCAAAGTGTATCATGTTAGTGACTTCCTATGATCAGCACTCCCATTTACCTGCATGGCCACCCATTCATCCCTCTTGCAGCATATTAGATGCAACCCAAAGAGGTGGAATCAGAGTGGGGTGGGAAATGGAAATAAAGGCAGTAATTACCAGTGGAATCATGCTATGAACAAGGGAAATGTCTTTGTTTTCCAACTTCTTCATATATCTAACAATATTTGTTTCTGAGTGATAGCTGTGAACACAAAACACAAGGTTTAGGCCAATAGAGTTAGATAAGAGCCCCCACACATCCTCCTGAAAGAGAAGACACATTGAGATCTACCTTCAACATACAGCTCAAATTAGGCCATGGGCAACTTGCCAACAAAGCATCAACAGGAAGGGCATGAACCCCACAACCACCCTCTGAACCTCAGGGGATGCCCGAGGACAAGAAGCTGCCTGTCTGCATTAGAGGAAGGGCTGGAAATAAGAGGATGTTGAGTTCCTGGGAACAATCTTCAGCCTGGTGACTCTGCATCCAAACTTGTACCTCTTGAGAGTAGAATTAGGAGTTATGGTGCCAAAGGAGCAGAGCCACCCGGAAATAAGGGGTGATTTGCCCAGGTTAGGAATGGGACCTTTATGGCGACGATTTACTAGTAAGTCAGGCTAAGCTACGGTAACCCAGGCCATACCACAGTCGGAGTCAGAAGCCCCTCTCTACTGTGCTCCAAAGCCTCAACACACAGTGCAGAAGTCACACAAGCCACACAAACCTGTTGAACACTTGATGTGTGAGGAACGGGCTAGTTCTCTTGAAGGCAGTTCCTAGAATACCTCTCTGTTCCTCACCCATCCTTTCAGCAACCAGCTCCTGCATGGAGAGACCACAGAAACTAAAGGGCAGGAATCATGCCTGGAACTATGTGTGAACCAGGCTTCCAATCAGTGCGTATTCTGATGGAGCAGCAGAAATCCCCTACCACTCAACCTCCACCCACCCCAACCCCATCCACCCCTGGGACATCTGGCACAGTGCAATGACAGGTGTCAGGGGTCACGTATTGTTGCAATCCTCTGAAACAATGCTTTTAAGTTCCGTTGACCTTATCCACAGGAAATAAAATTGTACAACTTTTCCTGCCCCCCCCAAAAGTTGACATCTCCTATATGTTTCTTAAATAATAAAGTAAGTTATTTTAAAGGGCTATTTAAAAAGTTACTATAATCTTCAAGTTAGGATTCTAATTGACACTGCTCTTTTACCTTTGAGAACAATTCTAATAAAATACAAGTGCCAAGACCATTTGATGGAGGGGAAGGAGAGTCTCTTCAACTAATGGTGCTGAGAAAATTGGGCATACACATGCAAAAAAATGAAGTTGGATCCTTATCTTACACCATTTACAAAAACTAATTCAAAATGGGTGAAGGACTTAAATTTACAAGCTAAAACTATAAAACTCTTAGAAGAAAACATAGGAGCAAATCTTCATGACCTTAAATTTGGCAGTGGTTTCATAAATATGGCTAAAAAAGAATGGCTACAAAAGAAAAATTAAAGTGGACTTCATTAAAATTAAAAAATTTCTGTACATCAAAGGACACTATCAAGAGAAATAAGAGACAAGCCACAGAATTTGCAAGTCATATATCTGGTAAGAGTTTAATATCCAGGATGTATTATTAAACACACGATTTGCTCCTCATTCTGCCCCAGGCTGAGAGTAGGGCTCACTAGACAGAACCCACAGTGGGTGCTTCATAAATGTTACTCAAACGCATGGAACAAACATGTGTGATTAAATTTAGTGCAGCGTTCTAGAGGAGAGATACTTACTCGGTCTTGTTCATTCATTAAAGTTTAAAAGAGAATAGTGTTAATACTTCCTTGATGATTCACATTTGTTATCTGGTACTAAAGTCATCTCTCAAAGAGGACATAGACAACCAGGATAGCACCTTTCCACACTCTGGAACCTATTTCTGCTTCCTTTTATTGATTACTTAACAAATATTTATTGAGTGGTTCCTATGCTCCAGGCCTCAAGATGTTGTGATTAACACCTTGCCACAGGTCTTGGTAGCTACTGACCCCTCTCTTACATTCTCATTCCAAAGAATCACCACCTCCACCTCACATATCCCTGCTATTTCATCATTTTAGGAATCAACTTAGTCACACTGAACTGCTTCAAGTTCTCATGTAATCTCTCCCCTCCTAGCCTTTAGGGCTGCTTTTCCCAGTGTCTGGAACAGTTCTGGCCCCATCCTCCTTCTCCTCAGTTGTGTCTTGAGAGCTCCTACTCATCTTTCAGGTCTCAGCTTAGGATAATTTCTTCCAAGTCTTGTTGAGGATGCTCACGAGCATCTTCAAGACATTGTCCATCATAATGCATCACCTGGATTGCAGTCTTGTCCTTGTTTGGATCCCCATTAGACTATAATCTCCATAATGGTGGGAATTGCATCTGATATTCCACTATTTTCAGGGCATAGCATATTACCAGGCACATATTAGGTCAGTTTTCCCAAAATCAACATAACCAAGATGCTAATGTCATGAATCTTTGTATTAAGAATAATTTGAATTAAACCCCACTAATAATCCTTCCAACTAGCTTGGCTGCACAGTCCTGGCCAGGGCCCACAGCAGTGACCTCCACCTATTAGCAGTCACAGTGTCACGGAATAATCACTGGTGTAATTTTAACAGTGGGCCACCTAATGTCAGACCTGGGCCCCCTCTCCCTCACACTCAGGCCCACAAGAGGCAAAGCCATCTTCTATACTATCTCACATAGTCACAACGAGGAATGCACATTTTTATTTTACTTACTGCAGACGACTCACAGCCAAAGATCCACAACAAGTCATCCAGATCTTTTTCATTGACTGTTTCATCAAGAGAAATACCAAGCTACAGAAAGAAAAATGAAGTGGAAATCATCAGCTCTGAACGCCAAGACCACTGAAGAAACCCTAAGAGGTGAAAGGGCAGGAAGTGCTGGACAAAACTCCCAGGCGTTCTAAAATAACAAGGTACCAGTATATCCAAGTTGGCCCTTGGGCAAAGGAGGCTAGACTAGCCTCGGATGTCACAAGATTTAGTTTTACAGCCGCTTCTGGACTCTAACAGTCTGATGGCTGCAGGGTTCTAGATATGCTCACCTTTTTCTCCCTTGAACGTACGTTATCGTATCACTTATCATACCCTTTACCTTTAACAAACATACTGTAGAGAAAGGAGTACTTTGAGCAAAATATGTGCCTAAGAGTCTCATATATGAAAGCACAGCATCTTAAGGACAGCTGACAATGAATTATCCTTTAAAGGGTCACAATGTTCCAAACTGAAAATGAAAATTATTTCCAAAGAAATAAATTGTGCCCAAAGTTCCAACTGATTTTTTTTTAATGAAGAGAAATTTTAATGAGAAAAGTCATGTAAATTTAGAGAATTTGTTTAAAAAAGCAAACAAAACCTGAAAGTTTGACTTACTGTCCCATCCTCGAAGAGCCGAATATTTATTTGCCGCTGAGTGGCCCTGCCCAAGACCTCCTTCACTGAGCAGCCACACTGAATCTTCAGAGTGTCGAAGAACAAGTCGTGCTGGAGCTGGTGCCCCGCTCGCTTGAGACCTAGACAAGACAGGAGAGCCCCTGGGTCTCTCCATAGCAACCTGACCCTCTGCCACTCAGAGAAATAAAGAAATAAATCCCACTATAGCTGTTCCTGGTCCTACCCAGTGCTTTGGTGACTGCTTTTTAAAAGTAAATGTTTATTATGCTATAAAAAATTGTGAAATACATATAAAAATGGAAGTTGGTGGGTGGGTATAGCTCAGTGGTAGAGCACTTGCTTAGCATGCACAAGGTCCTAGGTTCAATCCCCAGTACCTCTATTCAAAAAAAAGAAGGAAGAAAAAACACTATAATCACCATTCTGAAATAAAAGTGGTTACCTTTCGGTATAGATTCCTCTAGAAGTGAGGTGTATGTGTATGTTTGTGATATATCACATTACATGTGTTTATTTACCCTTTTTTCAAAAAAATTTCATGTATCATGAACATTTTGCTTTTCTACAGAGTAAAAAAGCATCATTATTTTTAATGGTTATGTAATATTCAAACTTACAGATGTATCATAATTTAACTAATGACTTATTATTGGACATTTAGGCTGTTTCCAAGATTGTGCTATTGTAAACAGTGATTCAATGGACACCCTTTTACATCCTTATCCAATTATTTCCTTTAAATATATTCCTAGAATTTCTGGATTAAATTGTAGGCACATTTTAAAAGCTTTTGATAACGTATTGTCATATCAAAAGTGCCTTCATAAAAGTCATATCAATATCAGCATTCTTTTTAATCTTTGCCAATATAATGGGAAAAATACTATTTTATTCTTTCAATTTATGTTTCTTTAACTAATAGTGAGGTTGAAATTATACATGTTCATTTGTAGGTGTATACGTAGGCGTATATTTTTTTAAATTACATTTAATGCCCTTTGCCCATTTTTCTTCTTCTGTATGGGGTGGTGGGGGTACTAAGAGCTCAATATTAACACTCAGTCTATCATAGATGCTGGAAATATTCTTCCCAGGTTTTTATTTGACTTTTAATTTCACACACAGTACCAGACATGCAGTAAGTTTTCAATTTTACTTACTCTCATTTATAAGTCTTGTTATAAACAAAAGTTTAAAAACAGATAACTAACTCACCTTCAGATAAAATCAAAGTGGCATTATGTACCCTCCTAGCAATATGTTCCAGCCCGTGGGACCCGTGGTAGATTGCAAACATTGCAGCCATATTCGCCAAGAGAGCCTAAAACAACAAAGAGTATTTAAAGAATCACACTCAACAATATGATGGAAGATGATTAGTGAGAGGGACTATCAGTCTAACTTGACGTGCCAAAACTGAAAACAGGGACAAAGCAAAATAATCAAACGCCCTGCCTTCTCCATGAAAAGGCATCACACACAGAACAATTTGCTGTCAACCAAAGGTAAGTTTGTGACAAATGGTTCCTTCCTGGGATACTAGAAAAGTTCTTCCCTGAAAAGCAGCAGCCACTTTCCTGAGACAAAAATAATACAAGAAAACCAATTAAGGAAACTGCTCCAAAGACCAATGGCTTTAGAACAATCTATAAGAAGAACTTATCATCTACTAACTCCCTGGAGAGGCTTGCAAAAGCCTGGTGATGGGGCTTGGACCAATGCCCTGAGAAGGAAGAACGATGTACTGCCCACTGAGGTATCTGTGAGATCTCTCTCTTTCTCCAACTCTGAATGGAAGAAATGAACCTAGAAAGGATTGTATGCTCAGGAATGGTCCTCCACCTGAAACTAGGAATTGCCTGGATGTCAGAAAACACTGCTCCCTCTAACCTAAGCCCTTTGATAACATCCAGGTAGCACCCCCTCTTTTATTTCCCAACCACTTCAGGAATGCCTCTCATGAGCTCGCAGTACGAGTACCCCATGACCACTGGCTGGGCAGTCTGGACCATCACCTCAAGCACCTCAAGTGCCTTCACTTTGCCTTCCTCACACCAACCTGGAGGGCCTCCATCTCAGCCCTAAAAGAAGGTGCCCCAATCACTGCCCACAATGGATCTGCCTATGGCCAAGAATACTAGACAGCCTAAAGTGTGAAATGTGTGCGTACACAGAACTCCAGTAAAATACGTTGTATTTTGGTTCTGACAAGACCATAGGCTTCTCTACCAACAAGATCGTGACATTTCCGGTGTGCACACTGCTCAGTGGATGGTGAATGAATGAATCAACAACTGAGTGAACAAGTGAGCAGCTCATTTCTGTAGATTGTAAGGCATTCAGTGAGCAGGACAGGTACGTGATCTACCTGAGCTGTACAGATGTTGCTGGTAGCTTTGTCTCTCCGGATGTGTTGCTCCCTGGTTTGAAGAGCAAGACGATACACTTCTTTCCCACTGGCATCTCTGGACCAAGAATAAAACATTCGGTTAACACAGATAATCATAGCAGCAGGAGTTGCCATAAATAGAAATGCTTTTTCCTTCCCAACTTGAAGTGAATTCAGCAAAATTGCTTGGATGCAAAGCCATAAAGAAACAATTTCCAAACCATCTTCTTCTAAATCGGACTACTAATTTTCAGTTTGTACTTTGAGGATTTGAGGCACCGAGATATATACAATAAGGCTAGGAACTCTGAAGAAAAATTTCCCAGGAATCACCTCCTAATATGATGATGTCACCATGAGAATTAAGCTTCACTCTGAGCTTCCTGGCAGAGTCAGAGAAAAGGGAAATACCTGACAAAGGAAACAGAATTTCTATTCTAGAAATCTGAAGCAACTATAAGGCTATAAATAAAGAATGTTAATAATCTTACCACTTGTCTCCAATAAAATTTCTCCTGTCTTAATACAATTAAAAATCTACATAAACACAAATATTCAGCAGTCTTATGCTATATTTCATCAAGCTCTGGGGTCCACTTTCCAGAAAGGCAAGAAGTTCAATATAAAAATTAACAGATTAAAAAGAAAAAAGCAACAGATAATAATTAACATAAGAAAAAATTTTAATTAGAAAACTTCTGCCTCATCTCATCTGGTGAAGAGACATCACTGATAAAAGCTAATGCAAGTATACTTAGAAAACTATTATTTTTACATTAAAAAGAGCCATTTGCTGTCATGTGACAGAGTATTTCAGAACTTCACATCACTGTCACATCATTCACTAATTCAGACTACTCACTTTCATGCTAAGTTTCCCCAGTAATAATCATGGCATTCATCTAATTCTTAATCTGAAGATCTTCATCAATGTGAAGCACATAAGAAAGTACATCTGTAAATTATGCAAATGGCCAAGTAGCAGGCCTCTAGGAAATAACGTGGGGCACACTCGATGTCTGCATGATACTCGTTTATTGTACTTGTCTTTACATACATGGCATGATACACTTTTGAGAAAGAAACTAGTTAGATACAAAATGTACCTAAAATATTGTCTCTCAAGGTTTTCATCAACCTAAATAAATTCATTTCTATGACTTCAATACAAATGTTGTAAATTGTGTACACACTTTTTGAAATATGCATAAAATCATGGCATTTGAGAAGAGGTACAAGGCATTTGAGAAGGGGCAGGTATGGGATGAAGAGGGTGTGTGTGTGCGCATGTGTGTATCTTTTGGGATAGGGTGGAGGGTAGGCAGGGCACTGATACCCCAAATACATTCTCTCTTCTGAGTCTATGTTGGTCATTTCCTTAATCAACCCAAACTGGCCCAGTTAAATTCAGAGAGAAAGCAGCAACTTTTGTGATCAAGAGAGGAGCAGGGAAAACCATAACCACAATAAAAGGGGAGAATCATGAGCTGCTTTACCTTGTTACCCCAACCATTCTTCCAGGCATCATCCTCACCAAGCTTTCTCTGACAGCAAAAAAGGCTGCATGTGGTCCGCCATAGCCCAGGGGCACCCCAAATCTCTGTGAGCTGCCCAGGGCGATGTCTACCCCAAATTCTCCAGGAGGCCTCAAGATACACAGAGCTAAAAGGTCAGTAGCACAGCAGGCCAAGCTCTAGGAAGGAAACAAGAGAAAATGGACAAGGTTGTTACCTTCCCTGAGAACAGTGGGAGGATAGCAAATTATCTCCGTTACAGGCAGACTGGCAGAGTTGTTTGTATCCTGTGAAATTTATCTACTTATTCATTCATTTAAAATATTTACTGAGTGCCTACTGCATACCAGGAATCAGTGAAGAAATCAAATTTGAAGAAAGGAGGTAGGAGACAGTTTTACCATACCAGGTGATAAAGGAGTAGAAATTAAAACACATCAAAAAGAGGAACAATAATAATTCAGAGTTGGGACACACCTCCATGTACCCCCACAAAGAGAGGTTAGCCTACCCCTGCCTGATGGGCTCTCTCCACCAGTTCTGTAAAATCTTCCACCTTCCCCTCAGTGTCTGGGTACTGGAACAGCACTCCACTGACATCCTTCCCACTGAAGTCCATTTCATGGGGTAACTTCAGTTCAATGAGGACTCCAGCATACCTGGAAAGATGGAAGACAAAGAACAATCACACATTGGGTTTATAAGGGAAAATCAAAATTACCTACAGTGTTTTTTCCGTGATACAGCCATTCATATTCTGTGTCCTTCCTCGGTGCCCACCGCCCCACCCATTCCAACACATACCCCCATGCCACACCCGGCCCTTCAGTGTAACAGTGCTTCACATCAACTCAACTGCATCTAATGGCTCAGCTTCTGTTTCTCTCTCCACCCTTGCTACTGCCCCTCTCCCTCCCCTGTCCTGAGAGAAGAGAAGAAACGTGCCTTCCTAGGGCTTCAGAACCATACCTGTAACCACAGAGCCATCACCACTTTGACTTTGGATAGGTCTTGGGTGAATAGAAAACCTCAGTGAGGCAAGAAAGACCTCCCTTAAGTTCCTAAAACTATCTAATTCCTATATGTCAGAAAACCACTTCTGAAGGAATGGTTTTATGGGGTCAGGGGAAAGGCTGTTAAACACACCTGTAAGTGGTAGTTGTGCTGTGTTTATTTGATCTGATTACAGCACTTAAGAAATACAATATGCTTTCATCTACTTCATACTAACCTAGGTATTATGTGGATTCCCTATGAGTCCTATTTGTAGGAATACATATATTGTGTGAGAGTTCCATTTTTTCCCTCTGCTTTTCAAACTTTCCAAAATACCATTGAAATTATTTTAGTATTTTTAATTTTCTTTTTACAAAAACAAAGCAAAACAACATGGTAACTTAATATAAAGCAAAGGCAACCAAATCCACTATGTATTTTTTTCCTCAGTTCTGACACATTTTATGTGCCAGTGAGATCATGGGAAGAAAGTGGGACAGGAAGTAAAACTCAACAACCCCAGCTTAAACCAGGTTCACCTCTAACCAGTGTGGAAATAAGAAGGCGAAACAGCAGAAATGACCATGAAATCATCCCTGAATTCAAAATACAAATAAAATTAATTACTTGGCTCGAGTCTGGACAACAGCTATTGTCTGGGGATGGCAACGGGGATCAATAAAAAATTTCCTCCTCTTGTTGTGTCTGTTGAAAAGAAAAATCACATTCAAAAATGAACATTAAAGAAATCAGAGTATCTTCTAAGAATGCAAAGCAAAGACAGTACTTAAGGAAAGTCTGAGCAGAGGATAAAAAATAATGAGTCAGTAATAACTAACAGTGACATTTACTGGTTAGAATTCTACTAAAATCCAATTCCCATTCCAACCCCATTTAGTAAAATCAATTTTAAACTGGTTTAAATTTTTAAAAGTACACTATGAGGAAAAAGAAAACCAAAGGGTAATGATAAGGTACAAGCAGAAGTAAAAAACTAACTCTTCTAAATAAAAACATCTGAGAATTTTATTGCCAAAGGAGCATTGAGAGATTATTTAAACCAAGTGTCCTCGTTCAATGCAAGAGGAAAAGGACTCAGACAGGTTGTGACATTTGTTGAGCCACACAGCTATGAAGGAACTAAGTTGGGGCTAAGAACCAAATTCTGGAAGTTCTCTAACAATCCATGGTTTCAGGAAACAAAACTGATGGGGAGACATAACAGTTTGCATACCATGAGTACATGGGGTAAAAAGAAATGGGTGAGGAATACAAGTATACTGTGCTATGCATTTAATTTTTCAGAGAGGTCCATAATGACCAGTTAACAGTGGCTTTCTCAACGGAATGGAACTGAGAGACAGTAAGTTTTACTTTTCATTATAGCCTTCTCTCCTATTTGAATATTTTTCCACTATGAACAGGTATTATTTTCATAACAAGCATACATTAGAGAAGTGAGTAGAGTTGAGATACAAAATCAATTATCCAGTGCACAGCGCTCTTCACAATTTAAATCTAAATACCTCTGGAGAAAAGAGATATCTAAGCCTAAATGACCTAGGATGGAAACAAAAACACTACTATTTGAAAAAAATTTTCCTAAAATAAGAAGTACAAGACTGCTTTTCAAGGGTAAAATTAAATGCAGGATGGAGGCTACGAGAATGATGAGAGAGGAAGCAAACCAAGCATTTGCAGAGTGAGTAGCCCAGTTCCTCTAATCAGTTCAGGACAGAACCCCTCTGAACCATCAACTACAAAGGCCTCAGCTTCAAGTGTGAGATGAAAGCTTTTACTTTGAAAAAGGTAGTGGGGAGAGAAGGGAGGGCAGCAAGAAGGTGGATGGGTTAGAAGATAAGGTGAAAATGAGTGAAAAGCTGAGAACAGAATGGGCATGGCCGTCCATAGGATGACAGGAGCAAGAGCCTGAACCCTGCCCTGGGACTGCTTGGGAAGCAGAAGGGCCTGGAACTTAAGAGGCCTCCGTACCTGCTGAGTGAGCTCGGGGTTCACAAGTGCAACACTGTGATTTATATGAAATATATATTTGATCACTCACATGACCAAAGTATATTTCTCATATATATTTGGTCTTCTTCCACAGAGGGTCACTGCTTCCAAAACTCTTAGAATTTCCTAAGTGTGGAGAGTAACCAAGGTGTTTTTTATTATGTTAATGATGCGACTTTTGCATCCCATCTAAAGATGGGAGCTGGCTGACAAAAGGAGCCAACTGTATGATCAGAGGGCTGGAAATTCCAGTCCCACCCACTGATCTCCAGGAAAGGGAGAGGGGCTCAAGGCTGAATCAATTGCCAATAGCCAAGATTCAATCAACTGTGCCTATGTAATGACAAAAAGGGTGAGGGTTGGAAAGCTTGTGAACTGGTAAACACAAGGTGCTCTGGGGAGAATGGGGATCTCTGAGAGCACAGAAACTGAGCACTTTCCACATACCCAGCCCTGTGCATCTCTTCCATCTGGCTGTTTCAGAGTTATATCCTTTTATAATAAACTGTTTCTAGTAAGTAAAATGTTTCTCTGAGTTCTGTGAGCTGCACTAGCAAATTAATCTAACCTGAGGGGGGGGTCCTGAAAACCCCAGTCGGTTGAATACAGGTAACAACCTGGACTTGGGACTGGTATTCTGAGTTGGAGGGGGTTGTTGGAACCCCAATCTGTAGCCAGTTGATCAGAAGCAAAAGTAACAACCTGGGCTTACAACTTGCTGGTGTCCAAAAATTGTTTGTTGGTGTGGGGGGAATGCCCATCCCTGATTGGAACTGATACCAGGATCAATTGAACCACCCCTCCAGTCTGTGGAAGCCAAGAAAGAGACTTACATGGACATTCAGAATGTAAACAAAGAATGTTGCCCACCAGTTCTACAAGGATCAAGCTATTAGCCCCTGCAGTCACCCAGTCAACAAGAGTCTGAGGCCCAAAATCTCAGACGGACACACTACCAATGTAGGCAGATTTCCCTACAAGATGACCACCTGCATGAGAATTCTATCAGGAAGATAAACTCAAATGTATTCATAAGGCAAAGAATTAAAGAAGGTGACTAAATGCTAACTAAATGTTAGCCAAAGTTAACCATGACTCAGCAATGCTACTTTTAGAAACGCGCCCTCAGGAAATAATCAGAACTTTCGACAAAGATTTATCCTAAAGATGCACAAAAATATCATTAATAGCAGTAAAGAAGGGAAACATATAATGTGTAACAATAGAGGTGAGTTACATAAATTATGGTACTTCCATGCAAATGAGTACTAATATATAGCCAATAAAAGCCATATTTTAGAAAGTTGATTAAAGAAATGGGAAAAATGTTCACCACATACTGTTAGATAGAAAAAAATAAATCAAGTTATAAAACATTAAATACAACCTAAGAATAATATTCTTCATAAAAGAAGGAGATATTTATGTATTCCATTACAGATTGCTAGTTTCTACCCAATATCCATTCTCCCTGTCACCCATAGTACAAGAACCCCAATATATAAGGGACAGCAATGTGCCCATGTGAAAAAACTACATTTCCTCAGCTCACTTGTAGGTAGGGGTGGTCAATGAAGCATAAGTAAAAGTCAATGAATGGGAGCTTCCAAAAAACTCTAAAAGAGGGCTTATTTAGCTAGAAGTATCCTTAACCCTGCCTCTTTTCTTCTTCCTGAATGCAGATGTAGTGGCTAGAGCTCCAGCAGTCATCTTGTGACCGTGAGGACTGTAGACAGGGAATGCTACCTATCATTTCAGTAAACAAAGAATGTCGCCTGCCATTCCAGTTCTACAAGGAAGTAGCCATCAGCTACTGTAGCCACCCACTGATGAATTCCTGAGGTGAATTCAGGATGGAGAAAACAGGAAGTATTCTATGCTTTGGATACTGGCCCTAGACAGTTAAGATGCATTTCTAAAGAATAATTTCAGTAAACCCAGACTCTTTGCATCTTCCCATACATTGAAAAGCACTAAAATCATTAACTTGAGATGTCTGTTCTTTGAAATTAGCAATAATCTTTTGATGTTCCACTAAATGTTTTTTTCTCAGCAAAAAACATCCTACGTATCCTGGCTCCTCCCTGACCTCTTTGAAACAGTTTCTTAGAGCTATCTGAGAGACTGTCTCCTAGGCAATGGTCCTCAGTAAGATCCCTGAAAAAAACTTACCTGGCGACTTTTAGGTTGTACGTTTTTCTTCAGACTGCCAGATGAAAGCCTTACACTAAAGACAGCAGAGAGGGGCATCGGTCCCTGATACTATCTTAGAGTTGCTATTACATCCCTGAACGTAACATTATGTAGTGAAGAACAAACGGCCTTTCTTACACAATGTAAATCAATAAACAATAGAGGCCGTTTAAACCACTAAATTTTGATCTTTTTGTTACCTCATCTAACTAATATGATGCTGATACAATGTATCTCTCACACACAAATGTATGTATTTGTGTGCATGTGAGACAGAGAGAGCTATCACTGGACACTAACCAGGACAGTGGAGTCCCCACCTGCACAGCAGGAGTGACACTGGAAGATGTCCCTGATGCTGAGGGACTCTCATGCTGGGCCTCTCTCACCTGTGGCAAAGCTGCATTGCCTCTGCAGCCGCGGTGGCCTCATCCAGCAGGGATGCATTAGCCATGTCTATGCCTGTGATGTCACACACCATGGTCTGGTAGTTGAGTAAACTCTCCAGTCTCCCCTGAGACACCTCTGGCTGGTATGGAGTATACTGGGTGATCCTGTGAGGGACACAAAAGACTATGACAAACTGTGAGTCCACTATTCACAAAAGTTCACAAATTGCCTTCATTTTAAAATTCAGTATCTGAAAATTAAGTTTGCCTCTCTTAAAAATTACGTAATACATCAATAAGCTTACTTCTTGTCCTTTATAAAGAAGCTCAGAATTAAATTATAGTAACAATATTATCCTTTGGGGATAATCAATACTTACTTTTCCATCATTCTAGGTTACTAAATCTTACATTTCTATTTTAAATGTGTGTATTTTATTGTAAGCTGGCCTTAAAATCCACTTGAGCCTACCTATGGTATTATAAATAGAAATTTCACTTCCCATTACCTTTCTTTTAGCTAAAAGCTCACCTCAATTATGGTTCACAATAAAAATCATCCAAGAATCTAATACCTAACACTCAAAATTTGGGGGTTTGGGGAAGAGGAGCTTTATTTTATACTAACATAAGTTCTACGGGCTCCTAAGAAGTTAATGGAGGTCTATTTAAGAACTGTCACTATCCAGTTATTAAACGTTTATGGAAGTTAACTCCATAGCTATCAAAATTCAAGAATACAAATTAGAAGGCAGTGTAGACATGAATTCTAATCTTACATCCTCTAGTTATTAGCTAAAAATGTGTCTCTAGGTATGTGAGTTAATTCACTTAGTGCTTTCATCCTTTTTTTCATCCCTTCATTCGTTCACTCATCCTACAAATATTTACTGCATGCCTGCTAACTGCCAGGAACTATAAGTTCTGGGAGCACATCATAAGCAAGATGGGTAACAGCCCCGATCTTAAGGAGGATATATTGTAATGGGGAAAAAGAGACAAAAAATACATGAAATCATTTCAGAGTGATACATATTATAAATAAGAGGATAGAGGGTGACTGAGGACTTGTGACAGAGTTGCTATCTTTTCACTGAGAATTCACTCACTCTATCATCAAAGTGTGTCAGACTGGGGTCCACGCTCCTGCTTGTGAGTAACATTGCTTCATATTTCTACTATTTTCATTCTTCCAAGCCTGAAGAGCATTAGGGAAAATGTTTAGGTTTTTTGTTTTGTTTCATTTATCATTTTTTTCAACCCCTTTTCCTTTCTCTCCTGTTCTGGTAATCATATTCAGGATATTTCCACCCATTTTATTTTCTTTTTTGATGGCTTTGAAACCAATGTCTTCTTACCTTTGAGTAGAGTGGAGGAGCTTGCCTTACCAAGCAATACAATGTCAAGGCTTTGAAAAAACTTTCCTGAAACTTTCATTGGTGTAGTAGAGTGTGTGTGTTTGTACAGCAGAGTACATTTTTGCTTCAATTAACTCCTTGAACAGTCTGGCTTAGCAACTGTAAATCAGTTTGCCAAATTCTATGTGGGTGGTGAACTGGAATAAATGAGGCACACAATACATAATGTAGACAAAGTAAAAAGAGAATCTGAGCAGAAATGGAGTCACACAAAAGGCACAGACAAGGGGCAATTGTGACCTGAGAGCAGATAAGATCTTCATACAGAGCATAGCCTGCCACCACAAATAAACATGCTTAGATTGCCTGGGTAAAATTTTCATTTTACTCACAATCTTTATTTGACATATAGACAGACACACAAACTTACACACACACACGCACACACATATCAGCTAGCCCATCTAAAGAATGGGAAAGATTCGGTAAATCCACAGAGCTAGATATAGAATATACTATAAGAAGAGAGAGAGAGAGACGCTCCAAAGAATTCATCACAGCACTGAATATAACAGTGAAAAATGAGCAACAAACTAAGTGCCCACTAAAAGGCGAAGGACTAAGTAAATCAGACAATATACTTACACTACCATGGATTCATTGTGAAAATGATGTGTAAAAGAATATTTCCTAACAAAGAAGATGCTCATGATTCATCAATTTAAAAAGTAAAATGTAAAATACCATGTTCCCATTTTTGTAAATTTGTAAAAATATAGGAACCAAAATTTAAATAGTGGTTTTCTCTGGGTGGTGAGATTAACCATACTTTTCTTTTTATTTTATGTTCTAAATGTTAAAGACATCAGCTACCACTTATTAATATCTTCTGTGTGTCAGGAACATGTTCACAACCTCTTTTTTGCTTATTATGTTATACACGCTCATTGTAAAAAGTTGGAAAATGGAAATAACTGCTGAGAAAATGAAATCACCCATTATCCTAAAACTCTAAGATAACAGTTAACATTTAGGTATATTTCTTATTTCATTTTTATTTTTTTAGTGGAGGTACTGGGGATTGAACCTAGGACCTTGTGCATGCACTCTACCACTGAGCTACACCCTCCCCACCAGGTACGTTCCTTTTCATTTTTTTTTTTGTTATTTTTCTTTCTCCATCCATTTTTCTGTTGTGTTGTGTGCCCCTTTCCTTGTTGATTTGTGACTTTTAATTATGCATTTTTTTTTCTCCAGCTTTTTTGAAGTAAAGCTGACAAAACTGTATATATTAAAAGCATACAACATGTTTTGATATATGTATACTTCATGAAATGATTACCACAATGTTCGTTTCAGTTTCTTTTTGACATCACAATCATATTTATATTTCAAAGTAAGATTACACTCAATACATACACTCTTTTGATTTGTTTCTGTTAACATTATTCCATGAATAATTTCTAATAACTTAAAATATTATTCAGAAACATGCACTTGTTATGTGTTCTTAAATAATTTATCATAATTTATTTAACAAGTCCTCTGAAGTTGAATATTACTTTTGGTTTTAACTATTAGAAATAGGGGGATGGGTATAGCTCAGGAAGAGCACATGCTTAGCATGCACAAGCTCCTGGGTTCACTCCCCAGTACCTCCATTAAAAAGAAAGAGAAAAAAAATAAAGAAACAGAGAAAGAAAGGAAATAGTGTAATAGTGAACATCCTTATCTTTGTGTTATTTCCTTTGAATAATTTTAAGAATTTCAGTCCATATGCCATCTGTCTCCAGAAAGTTCTTCTGATTCTGTATTCCCTTACAGTAAAATAGGTTTCCCTGCATCTTCGACAATAGTAAGCCCTGGGTGTCAACCTAAATTCTCTGTGAAATGGGACAAGTCATTAACCTCTCCCTGCCAATTTCTCCTGGCCATCAATGGAGATAGTATCATCTGTATTAGATTTTATCTTAACACTCATATCTGGTAAAAATATATATAATGCATCTCGGAAATGGCAAAGTCCTTCCCAAATGTTGCTTGTTTTGAAGTTTTTAATCTTCTGTTCTGGTCTCATAGACTTCTCCCAAAGAATTAATTCATAGTTCTATTCAGAGATTATTAGATATTTCTACTTGGAAACAAATTTTTTTCTGGGAATTCATCACATTCCATGTCGGCGTCACATTCCCTATTCTTCCTCCAACTTCCTCCAATTATCACCAAAGACAGTTTCTCTTCTTGAATATTCTTATTCCCACCATTATGCCAATTCTCAAGGTAAAAACTCCAGATTTTTTATAGCTCCAAAGAATGACCAATCGCCATTAGTCTTCCTTCCGATGTCCTATATCCATCCCTTTCTTTCTTGTCTTACTAGCGTAGTGCAGTGCACAAAATAGGAAATCATCAAATATTTCCAGTGCAAATGTGGGTACTTGACTTTCCTGCTCAAATGAGATGGCTCCCTGGTTACCTGCAGGAAAAAGCCCCAAACCTCCCAAGGACACTGCCTCACACCTAAGACCAAGCTATTCCTTCAGTCACAGGCTTTGGGATTTGATATTCCTCCTCCCCTGCTCAGCCCTTTTCTCCCTGTTTAACCCTTTCTTAAGTCCAAGTTCAGGCTGATAAAGCAGAGACGCTTAAAATTGTTTTCTTGCAAAGATGACAAATATATGATTCTACTTCTTCAATTTGTAAACTCCTGTTATAGTCCATAGGGTTTTTTTTTTAATTTACACTACTAAAGAGGCATAAATGATCTTAAAAATCATCTATTAATGGACTCAGATCGGTGAGTCTCAAGCCTGGAAATACTAAGTAAACCCTGATTTCAGGAGAAAAATGCTGGCACAGGGCTGGCCATCCTGCATAGAAGGGTTTAGCTGCCTCAGGCAAAACAGTGATCAAGAAAATGTCTGTGATCTACAATTTCTATGTTCTAACTGATATTTAACTCAATTGGTTTCCATTTCTGAATGTATTTTAATATTAAAAACAAAAGTATCTGCATATCCAAGGCGGCATCCTGCCCTGCTCAAAAAGCATACTTGATGTATTCAACACGGCATTAATATTTATTCCAGAATAATCAGTATTGTCTATGATTTTGACCAAAAAGAGGGAGGGAGTGCGGGTTTGGGGTCACAATAGAACAAACATTCATGAAGCTCTCTCATTTTAATGAGTGTCAACGTTACACAGAACAGAAATAGTCACAAAGAAAATGTACATTTTTTGATATTAGTTAACTGATGTTATCAGCAATCAAAAATTTCAAAAAGTAGACCCCGTAAAATATATTCTAGGCCTGATGTAAATTTTCTTGTAAAAGCCCACACGTTTGTATTCTCTGGAGGCTATTTTGCCGATTTATTTTCACCTCACGTCACCGGAATTTGTTGGTTCCATCTCTATGGCAACCATTCAGAAGGATGATAATGTGAAGTCTACCCACACTCATGTGCACAGCCCTCCCTATCAGCACTGGCGAGGGGCAGTATCACCCTCTGGTTCGGATCAGCTTTAGGAGAACACAAAGGAACAATACTTAAAATACATCCAGAAACCAGGACTGAAAAGTGAAGAACAACATTGTCTCTCTCTCAAAACACTGGCAGCTCCTACAGTAAATGAACACATCCGCTCACAGCCAGGAAGCAATATGGTGAATGCTCTGCACAGCCACCGAGAGTGAAGACCACTGGCCAGTATTCAGACAGCTGGAATGCTGCAGCCCATTCATGTACTTTTGAGGCTTGTTTTGTAAGATGGAAGAGAGACGGGCCATTTGCTTTTGAAATCAAATTTGAAGTTTACCATCCAAAGTTTTACCAGTACCCCAGTGGAAAGGGGCCCTCAGCAACAGAAATACATTCACACGCACACACACACACACACACTCACCAAAAGCAGAAACACTATTTCTTTGACGGTTCATTCCTGTTCTGTTATTAATAAAGAAATGCAGCATATTAAAACTGAAAGCTCTGGGCAGGGATAGCAATGCAGGAATAACTAGGCCAACAGATCTGGTTCCTACAACGATGGCAATCGAATCACTGCGTGTGGGACTAACACCCTCACCAACCAGGACTACCTTTGCAGTTAGACAAAAGCAAACAAGAGGCAAAGGCTCTGTGCTTCCCACTCAGCCTAACCAATGCCCTGAGCTGCACACATGGCTTGTTCCTCGGACCCACAGGCCTGGGCTTGAGGCACCAGATGAAGGCTTGCTGTGCTGATGGCCCAACACATGTGCACTCACTCACAAACTCAAACACATGGAAACCAGCTGTTTGCGGTTGGTAAGGGGGCAGAATGTAAGTTCACACATGTTAAGTAGTCAAAACAGTCTATTCCTAGTACTAGGAACACTTTGTGCAAAGTTTAATATTAGGTGGGGGGGGTATAGTTCAACTGGTAGAGTACATGCTTAGCATACATGAGGTCCTGGGTTCAATCCCCAGTACTGCCTCTAAAAATAAATAAATAAACCTAATTACCTCCACCACAGAAAGCAAAACAAATTTAAAATAAAATTAGGTAGGGTATCAGGTTTAGTCTCTAAAATGTCAAGACTGTCAGTTCGTATTCTTAGACAGGGCTGCATATTTCTCAGTGTGTGTGTGTGTGTGCGCGCGTGTGCATGTGTTTTAGAGGTGATTAGATGTTTTAAAGAGAGAATGGGAGTGGGGAGGGGAATGAGCAGGGGCTCATAGAGTCAGGGAAATGAAAATTTACAAAAACTGGGAAGGGGAATGCAGTGGTGGTTGGTCCATGTGAAACCCATCTGGGTTTGCTAAGTGGTGCTCGAAGAAGTTAGGCTCCTACTGTCCCACAGAGGCTGAGAGACAGGGGCTCCATCTTCATGTATTGACTGGAACAAACAGTAAACTTGGAGGGCATTTTGAGTTTTCTCAGGAAGGCAATTATTTCTAAGGTTAAAAAAAATCAAAAGGACTAATAGATGTCTCAATAGTCTGTAATAGGATGGGGGGGTGGAGAGTTCATATATGGGGCAATTATACCAAAATGAGAATTCTAGTAACTCAATTCAAATTAATTCTCACAAAATTTTATTAAATAAAACCTTTTTTTTTCAAGTTGCAGAGTATTCAGTAAATGTTTAAGATTTACTGCCATGGATCATGTACTTGGTATTTCAAAAACTCACGCAGAGGCAATTCCATGCTTTCCCACAGGGAGGTCCAGCTTCCCTTTACTAAAGTTGATTTTTTTCTATATGCCAACCTAAAAGACAGTCTCTGGTCTTGCTCTAAATACCTTTGAATTGCAAAGGCAATCACTTATTTTGTCCTCGCACAATAATGGTCCTACAAATTCACCTCAAACACCAACCAAGTTAAAAAAAAACACCTAGGAATTATCATCACCTTCCCATGCTTGGTTTGTTTCTATGCTAGAAATAATAAGTGCACACATTCCTTTGGAGATAAGGTTATCTGCTAAAATAAAGTTGCAATTCAAAGATGCTAGTGTATATAATAGCACTGATCCAAAAACAAGGAAGAGAAAGGCCCAGGGGTCCCCATCTCAGACAGTATTTCCCAGTGGGCGGAAGAAGCAGATGCCCTGATCCACTCCCAGACACCTCTGAAGCATGGTCTCTGACCGTCAAGAAGTATTCAGGGTGTTTTCTTGTTTAGTGTGTACTGGGATGGGAACCTGTTTCCTTCTTTCTATCGTACAGCAAACAGGAACAGAAAAGCAAGGTAGCATGGAAGTTTTCCTCAAGTGCAGGAGAACTATTTTCAATTTGTGCAATGAGTGGCAGCCAGAGGCAACGAAAAGGACAACTACCACCCCCTGCCTCCCCACCCAAGGACTAGGAATGAGTTACCTGATAGGTGAGGACACAACAAGTAACTGACATTGTCTTTATTTCTAGAAGAGCCTGTAATAAAGCTGATATTTTGCTCTCCATTTACCTGACACTGTGTCTTCTTTTCAGTAGGTCATGAACCCAGAATATTGGTTGAGGGGTGGGGGTGGGGAATGGATTAACTGTTACTCCTGAAATCCTGACAGAAGACAATGGACCAAAATTCTGACTCACTGAGTAAGCACAGATATAGCCTAAAATCCCAGTGTCTCCCTGAATCCACCCACCTGCAGGTTTGACGTCTTGCTCAAATATGCTCACTAGAACAAACATGAAGTCAGAGAGAGGAAGACATGACCAGAAGCCACGATTTTGAACTCCAGATTATTTTATGGGAATAAAAGTGGGAAGAAGCTTCTATTTCCTCTACATTTGAGTCAGGAAATCTCCCAAACTAGAGGAAGCCAGGTAGGTTCCTGCAGGTTAGAGATGGCACCAGAGTACAGGTGTCAGTGGGCAAGTTCTGAGGCTGGGGTGGGGTCGGGGGAAGCCTGGGAAGAGTCATGCAAATCAAATCACAGTACACTTGTTTTTCACCAAGAAATACATTACCATCCTGAGTTCTCCAGTAAGTTCCGCAAAATTGTCTGTGGCACTGAGCAATTATAATAGCCCATGCCAATATACGATCTCCAGATCTGGTTCTTGCTGGAAATGGCATGCAGAGTTGCAAGGATTTCATTTTCACCTGATTGTGGGAAAGAGAGAAATGTTACAGAGAGAATGTCTCAAAAGAGAGCTCCAGTTATATTTTAAAGTCCTAGTTTTGTTTGAATATTTATATTAGGAGAACTGCTATATGGAAAAATATAACCATCATCACCCCAGCAACACTAAGTACTATATGTAGAAATCTGAAAAATCCCAAAACAGCACTCCTTAAGGTTGGTTCCTCATAATTTTGGGGGGCTCTTCTTTTTTTGGCTTGTTTGTCAGAATTGCCCAATTTTAACACTTGCCTCATTCCAAGTTTCTTTTCTGTTATCTGTACATTTCTGTTTTATTTAGACCAAATAAAAATTCTGCTCTTAGTAAATTACTGTTTTCCCTTTTAAATTGTCTTGTATCAATAGTTGGTATAAGTTTTAAATAATGCATGACCTACATTTTTCTCTACTAACTGATACTTTTTCCTTTGTGTCACCGAAAGGGCTACTTATTTAAAAAAAGCCTTTCACTCATCAAAGTAAAATATCAGTTATAATAAAAGACCCACATGTAGTTTTAACTGGCTTTCCCACTAGGACACTAAAGTAGTTAAGCAGGAATTATAAAGGTTCTCAGATACAGGTGAGACCCTATTTTGGGTCATTCATAAAATAGCATCTGTATTTTGAACACTAACTCATTGCCAGGAATTATACCAAATGCTTTCCACGCAGCTTTGGAAACTAAGGCGTGAAGGAGATCAGGCACCCAAAGCTACACCACCTTAAATTAAACGGTTACAACCCAGCCTGTCTAACTCCAGCTTCCATACTTTCCCCACTGGGCCAGATTCAGATCTGCTACTTATAGTGTATAGATACTTTCTAGATACAAATAACTTTACATTGTTCCTTCTCTGCCCACTGCATATAAATCATGCTACTGAAATTTAAGTGAGATTTAACTATTTAGGCAAATGTCTGCCTTCTTTAAGATTTTCTTAGGGACTCAGTCACTTCAGTCTTGGAATCAATTGATTTCATTGTTACAAATCTAGGTACAGCAATCTCTAAGATGGCAAATTGGCCAGGAAGATGCTTCACGTTGTTTTAACCCTACTGAACTTGATGTGAATTTTGTTCTCATTCATCCTTCTTTTTCTTCAATAAAAACACCTTCATCCTCCATCCCACATGCTTTTACAGGAAAAAAATTCACAAGATATGTGTCATTTTGCCAGACAAAGTTAATAAAAGAAAAGATAGTTTTGTAAGTATTAATTTCATGAGTAATATAATCCAACTGCCTTATGACAAACAATGTTGCCTTCTTCCATTGAAGATTTAGGAAACGCAGGTGAAAGCACAATAAACCAATATCTGAGGAGAAATGCAATTGCAACATCCTTAAGAACAATCAGGAACAATCATGCAAGAAATCCAATCACTTCCCAACATCTTCTTAGGACAGAGTGATAAAGAAGCCCAGTAGGAGGGGAGCCAATTAGCTGTGCCTGGCAGGCACCCGATGCAGCAAGGCCAGCTCCAATTAAGATCCTTTGCAAGAGGGAGAGGTCCCTGTTTCATATTATGCCATGAGGACAAAAGGTCCAGCTCTCAAATGAGAACAGTCTTTGAAGGGCTTTGTCTGTCAAATCAAGAGTTTAACCATTGAGAGTCATAGAGTATAGAGTAATATGATTTTTTTCCTACATTATAGGAAGATAATTCTATTAGTATTGTGCATAGTCAGAGGGGAGACTCTAGAAATAGGAAGATATCGTAAGAGGCCAGTACAACAGTTCAGGAGGGAGGTGGGCTGGGGAGTGTTGTGTGTTAAACTGTATCTTCTAAAAAGATGCTGAATAGGTATCTGTGAATGTGACCTTATTTAGAAGTAGGGTTTCGCTGATGTAATCAAGTTACGGTGATGTCATGCTGGATGCTGGTCAGCCCTGATTCAATGATTGTAGAACACAATGTGATGACAGAGCACTACAGGGTCAAAAAGACTCACTTCTCAAGCCTGAATTCTTCCTGTTACTATAATTCTTCTAGTGAGTTCAAAGTTTTCCATTTTTACCCCTTAAATAATTAGACTGTGCCAAGTGAGTTGATGGGAACTGCAGGAAGAGGAGCCCCAGATGCACAAGGAGATGGCTGCAGCGGCCCAGTACTGCCCCTCTGCTCCTAAGATCTCACTCTGGAGCTTTCTCAGATAGAAACATCTGTGTCTCAGATTGATCATTTTTATGCTTCTGGGGCTTATCTATCATTAATTTGCTCTTCATTTATGCTAATTGGCCTAAAAACATTTCAGGCATTTCATTCAAATGCACAAAACATCATAGGCTGCGATGAGGGATGCTGATATGTATCTGAAGGCCCCAAGCTCTCAGCTAGAATGGTGGAGGACTTTGATTCTTCCCTTTGTAAGAAAACCCCTTCTCTCATACCTTCCAGCAGCGCTGAGGGGAGAGTCCAGAGAGAGAGCCTCAATCAGAGCCCAGTTCCTTTACTTGTTCCCTCAGCAGCTTCCTGTCACCTGGCCCTAGTCCTGTCCTGTCCGTATGCCTAAGGAACAGAAGACACCACCCTAGACCAGCCAGGAATGTACTGGCACATTCCACATCTGTTCAGGGTCTCCAGATACATATCAGCATCCCTTAGAGTTGCCACTATGTCTTATATACTTGGATAAAACACTTGAAAAAATTTAAAGGCTAGTTAGCAAAAAATGAAGA